TTATTTTTTGTGTCTCACGCATAGTTCTTATGGCACACTTGATCCCAAAAGATGTTAAGAATGAAGTAAGTACAATATGACTTGAAATGTGATTCTGTGGGACGTTTCATAGTTTCTTGAGGTACTTCATTTGCCTCTTATTTAAGTTACTGTATTTTATATATAGACATTTGGATATGGTTATTGTGACTTGTTGTTTCTATGATTTCTTTTCTTATATGGTTATTCTATTTTGAAAGAGGACTATTAGCTATACATACTAGTGCTATCCGACGGCACTAGCGTCCCTTTTGCCGGGGGCGCTGTATCTTTAAATGATACACGTGGTTCCACAGCAGGCGGCATTGATCAGTGATAGCGGTATTCCCTTCCTAACAGACTTGGTGAGCCCCACTTCATCCCGGGGTCATGTCATGCATCTTTTGTTCATTTTCTTATCATGTTTTGAGGTATAGCCGGAACCTTGTTGCCGGCATTTCCTTATTACTCTTCAGTGTACTTAGAGACTCCATAAACAGATTGTGGATGGTGTTTGATGTTGGGGAATTTAACGAGAAAAGTTGGTATTTGACAAACATGTTTATCATTAAATCTATAAACTTGTAATATGTTGGAAATTTTGAATGAAGCTGCTAATGGAAATGAATTGGAAGTCGTTAATAAAATATTTTCCGAATTTGATTAATGGAGTACATCTCCTCTTTATTCATGAAATAGTCTAGGTAGAAGGAAATCTAACAGGCTTGCTCGACCGGGTTCACTCGGTTGAGCGCCGGTCGCGCTCCTCGGTTTTGGGGCGTGATATTTTTACCCAATCCCAACCATCTTTATCTAAGTCATACCATCACATTTGAAGCTGCAGCGGAGCCTGCTCTACGATCGTTAATGGCGGATTCTGGATAGTGTTTATTTTGTACATATGGATGGTTAAGATTGGGGTTGTTTCCAGTGGACTCTTTTTTACAAAACAAGTTTTCAAATTTCTAAGAAAGAATCAAAGGAGGGTGGCTACTTATGCAATATTAGCGAAAGGTGGCTATTTTTGCGACAATGGCCCCTTCACACTTTCAAGTAAAGTTTGAGGCAGGGGAAAGGCACTTTATGAAAAAAGTGATGCCCCATTGACAGACATGTCCGTTCTTTGCGAGAATAGCCTTTCGACAATTTTGAAGATGTTCTAAGCCTATTATGGCAAGAAAAACGGCTCAGGATGCAACCAAAGTTGGTTGGTCATTTGACTAAAACACTGGACACACTTTATTTATTTTTGGTTATTTTTGCAAAACAATGAGCCCAGACTCTCTGTAGGTTGCCTACGTATCTCACATCCGGTGAGAATCAGACCTGCGTAGTTCGGTCAGTTTTGACATAACCGGAAAAACATGATAATGGCTCATTTTGAAATGACTTTTTCTATTGTTTTTTTAAAAAAAAAAATCATTTTCCCATTTTTCTTTTTTTTTTTCAAAAATTTTGGTAGAGTTTCGGGACATTTTCCAAATATCAAGGTTTTCAGAACCGGGTGAATTTTCTCTCCTACCCCACTCTTGGTTTTTCTCTTGATTTTCTTTCCTTAGCCGATCAACATGCAAGCCGAAGCAAATAAATGCACAAATATCACGTAAGATGCATCAGGATGGTCTTTTGTTTGGGTACACCTGTCCTAGACGGACCCATCCCCTATGTTGAGTCCCCAAAGCCAAATGCACGTGATGCAAACAAATGTTTCTACTAGGGATCCGGCATGAGACTATGTTATTCTAGGTTTAAACCTGGGGGTGTGTTCTAGACATGGCTTACCGAAGCGGACAGCTCGAGCCGAGGTGGGGGCAATGTACCGGGAGCACAAAAGTCTACCCGGCCTAGCTGTTGATCCAACCTCGTTCTATTTTGTATGACTTCTAACAGAAAAGTGGGCCACGCGTACGTGTGCAGCATATTTTTAGAAGACTCAGAAGGGAGGCGTAAGAAAGCATTTAAATACAGTTCAAATAATATCAAAGCGGTAAATTAGCGGCAATTAGCACATTAAGCCCACTAATACGGTAATATCAACAAACAATAAAGTCAAGTACATATTACATTACAGGCTCGAATTCTAAACCCTGAACCAGAGATTCTGGGTTCGTTCCCCATCATAGTCGCCAGAGCTGTCACACCTCCTTTTTTCCCGAGGGATATGGAGTTTTTCCAATTAAAGTGACATTAATCAAAATGGAATTATTTATTTAATTAGAGTCACCACTTGGGATAATTGTTATGGTGTCCCAAGTCACCAGTTTATTTTAAAATCACAAATCGAGGAAATTTGACTCTGTTTAGTCTATGAAACCAGAAGACCGGGTAAGAAATTCTATTAACCTGGGAGACTGTGTTAGGCATTTCCGAATACCGTGGTTTAGCACGGTCGCTTTAATCATACCTGGCTTAAGTAATTACTTAATTACGCATTTAAAATCTATGTGTATTTAACCGCCATTGATTATTATGTTTATGGATTTATCTTGAAAACGGATTACATGTGTGTAAATCCGTTTTATTTGGGGCGTTGAAATCATGTCACGCGTACGTATACACAATTTATCACGCTTTATTAACTTAGGATTGTTTTGCCAAAGTCGCACAAACACGTACTTTGATTCATTTATGAAAGATCATAATTATATCACGCGAACGTGTATACAATTATGATAATAGATTAAAATGTGCCTAAAGCAACTTACGAAGATTTAATAGCTATTTGTTCTAAACTAATTTTGTAATTAATAAAGGTTCAGGTTTTATAAAGTTGCATGGGAAATTGCTTCATTTGAGAGGTTGGATCTACATATTTATCACCCAAAATTGCCGATTGCAATCAAAATGAGTACTGAAGTGCTTTTTTTAGAAAAGAAAGGGAAGTTCTCTTATTTTATTTTTATTTATTTATTTTTTTTTATTTCTATCGTGATTAAAGCTAAGTGAATGCATTATGAATTACGTTGGATTGACAACCCATATTGGGACCTTTATAGCTAAATAAGTAAGAAAAACAAATGGGCTTGAGCTGAAGCCCAAAACATGGGAGAGCATTTCTGGTGTATCATGAAACATGGGGAGAAATTCAAAAATAGCCAGATTTACAAGTGGTCGTTCAAAATTAGCCCAGTTTCAAAAGTAATTGAAATTTAGGCATTTTTTATGTAAAGACAAATCTGAGCGAAAATACTGTTCAAAACCCGAAAAATACGCCAGTATATTATGCTGGAGTTCCAGCATAAGTATACTTGAACTCCAGCATTTATACTAGAGTTCCAGGATAACTATGCTGGAACTCCAGCATAATATGATGGAGTTCCAGCATAAGTACACTAGAACTCCAGCATAATATACTGGAATTTCAACAAAGTATATCGGTCCAGTATAATATGCTGGAAGTTCATACACAAGTGCTCGAATCTCCAGTATATTATGCTGGAACTTTCCGTATGCATAATATGCTGGAAGTTCATACACAGGTGCACGGAACTCCAGTATATTATGCTGGACCGGTCTCTGTTGCAGCAAAATAGTGGCTATTTTTTATTGACTTGGTAAATGCTAGCTATTTTTGAATGACCAGTCCGAAAACTGACTAGACCGTGCTATTTTAACTGAAAAATGCTTTAACAAATTGCTAAATGGGCTCAGAAGGACTGGACCCAATAATGAATGAATCCGCATAATTCGGGTGAAATTAAAAAATAGCCAGATTTACAACTGGTCGTTCAAAAATAGCCCAGTTTTAAAAGTAATCGAAATTTAGCCACTTTTCATGTAAAGAAAAATCTGAGCGAAAACACTGTTCAATACCCGGAAAATACGCCAGTATATTATGCTGGAGTTCCAGGATATGTATACTTGAACTCCAACATATTATACTGGAGTTCCAAGATAAGTATGCTGGAACTCCAGCATAATATGATGGAGTCCAACATAAGTACACTAGAACTCCAGCATAATATACTGGAGTTCCAGCAAGTATACCGGTCCAGCATAATATGCTGGAGTTCATACACAGGTGCACCGAACTCCAGTATATTATGCTGGACAGGTCTCTGCTGCAGCAAAATAGTAGCTATTTTTCATTGACTTGGTAAACGCTGGCTATTTTTGAATGACCAGTTCGAAAACTGGCTATATCGTGCTATTTAACGCATAATTCCAAACCAATACACATATGGAAAATTAACCTCACCCTAAACCTTTTGATGTAGTATTCTGAGCCTAACACATACAACTTCCACAAGCCAAATTTGTATCACTATAAACAACTAACTTAATTTAGTGTAAGGATTTAAACTATTAGTTACAATTCACATGAGTCAATGATTGGAGATAATATCAATGTCCCTCTCCTTTGACGATCATCACGACATAATTAGCTACAATGGAACAAAGAAGGAAACAACGAAACATAGTAGAGAAAAAATGAATTATTACAACATTATTCATCCTAATAAAATCAATGCTGCAATTTCTTCCATAGCTTAGTCTGACTGTACCATATATGCTGGAATTCTGCATAGAAGATTCTGTCTGGCTAAAAGGGGAATTCTGAAAATTCCCCTTTTACCCCAATTCTGACCTAGATTCTTTATCTTATTACATTTTATTCCCTTCTAGAAACCTCCTAAACAAACACCTTAGATTCCCTATCTTTGCTTTCTAATTAAACCCTCTTGAAATTCTGTTATTACTCCTAAGGACATGATTTTATGGACCTGGGGTCATGTGACCCTAGGTCGAAATACAAAAACCACTAAAATTCCCAATCCCATTTTCCCAATCTTTTGAATTGATCAGCAGACCAATCAAATAATGATCAAAACAAAAACCTAAAACCTACTTCAATCCTATAATCAATTCCAATACAAATAAACAACTAATAGCTCTAATAGCCAATTGAGCAGTCAACCATTAGTTGGTAATTTAATGACAGATCAATATTCACTAACAAAACAAATGAACAGGAAAGGATCAATCCCAATTCAAATCACATGATTGCCTTAGCTTAAATAAACCGTATAACTACATGCAATTTAAATAGTCGATTAAAAAGAAAAAGAGGGAGATATACCTAATTAGCATTCAATAGCAAAGACAAGAGGGCCAAGCGAAGGACTTCGAACAGACTTCAATGACCGTGATATGAACTGAGACTACCATCAATCGGTTGCTCTCATCAAGAGCAATCGGTTGATATAGGTCTTGGGTTCAAGCGGGCTGAGGGTTAAAGGAAATCAAAGAAAAAGACAGACATTAGGGTTTTTGATTTTATTAGATCTGAAATTCATGGAAATAAAATCAATGCTGCTATTTTTTCCATAGCTTAGTCTGACTATACCACATGCATGCTAATTACTCCAAGCACGAAAACCCTGGGGTGGAACAACAACAATTGCCATGAGAAAGCTTTTATTTTTTTATTTTTGGCATCAGAACGAGTTAGGCTACTGCAGTTTCAGCATGTTCTATAGCATTTTATGCATACTATGAGTGAGAAATTTAAGGAAATAACACAGCATAGTCAACTTGTCACTCAGAACTAATTCCAAACAATAATCAGACAACACAACTTAAAGTATTTCACATGAATTAGCAAAGATGAAAATCAAAGCAAATCACAACTTTGTACTTCAAATAACCACATTTTTTCATTATTTGATAGAGGATGGTACCTGTTTACAGCAGAACTAATCAAAAGGAAAATAAGTCTTTCAAGTTGAGACGTGCAGCAAGAAGTTCAATTCAAACACAGCTTGACAACAACAGCAAACAGCAGTAGAAAACAACACACAATAGCTTTAATCTTCAGCCCAAAAATCCAGCAATAGACCAAAGCCAGTGAAACTCTAATGTAAAATCAATGCAAAATGAAAAGGGAATTATGAATTTTCAGAGAATTGAAGTGTAAAATCATTGTCCCAACCTGAAGAGAGGATTCTGTCCCTGTTATATAGAGTAAGGGTTATACTATATGAGAGAAAATGGGAGAAAATATAGGAAACGTCAGCTGATTTTAAGGGATAAGGCATTTTCTAAAACTGAAAATGAACAGCTATCCAATTCATATTTTTCTTTCTTATTTTCAAAACCTTTTAACTTCTGAAAATTCCCCTTTAACCCCAATTTTGACTAGATTCTTTATCTTATTATATTTTAGTCCCTTTTAGAAACCTCCTAAACAAATACCTCATATTCCTTATCTTTGCTTTCTAATTAACCCCCCTTGAAATTATGTTATTACTCCTATGGACCTGATTTTATGGACCTGGGGTCATGTGAACCTAGGTGAAAATACAAACTCCGCTGGAATTCCCAATCCCATTATCCCTATTTTTCGAATTGATCAGGAGACCAATCAAATAATAATCAAAACAAAAACCTAAAACCTACTTCTATCATATAATCAATTCCAATCCAAATAATCAACTAACAGCTCTAATAGCCAATTGAGCAGTCAACCATTAGTTGGCACTACTAAAAATCCGGAAAAAAGCGACCAAAATTTGGCGACCAAAATTGGTCTGTCAGGAAAAGCGACCAACGTTGGTCGCTAAATTGGAGAAAATAATTAAATAATTATTTTAAATACATTAGCGACCAAGGTTGGTCGCTTTTTGGTCGCTAAGTTGGTCAAAATATTGACCGGACTGGTCAGACTTGCTTGGTCAAAGAATTGCTGAAATTAGCGACCAACTTTGGTCGCTAAAGTGGGACCCACTTATAAAATTTTAATAATTGTATTATTATTTAAAAAAATTATAAAATATAAATAAATATAATTCAAAATTAGCGACCAAAGTTGGTCGCTCACGAAAGGGGAAGCAGATAGAGACCAACTTTGGTCGCTAATCTGGGACCTAGTTATAAAAATTTAATAATTATATTATTATTTAAAAAAAATTATAAAATATAAATAAATATAATTTAAAATTAGCGACCAAAGTTGGTCGCTTGCGAAAAAGGAAGCAGATAGAGACCAACTTTGGTCGCTAATCAGGGACCCAGTTCTAACGTTTAATAATTATATTATTATTTTAAATATTATATAAAATATAAATAAATCTGATTTAAATTTAGCGACCAACTTTGGTTGCTAAGTTTAATTTCTGGATAATTAGCGACCAAAGTTGGTCTCTTTTCAGGTCAACATTGGTCAAAATTAAAAATCACTTTTGTATTTACTATCTAAATAATATAAATGTAATCCGTTAACACTTTTGTAATACAAGTAGTTAAAGTGGTACAACGAACCGTGTTATATATATAGATATAGATAAATTGATTCATCGACTTATAACCTACTCAGATGCATCGTTGAATATTAAAAACAAAACGTCTCGACTTATATCAATTAATCTGATATAATTGATTCATAGACTTATAACCTAGTGATGAATGAATGTAATTCATTAACTCTGTTACTGTAACGACCCGACCGGTGGTTTTGAGTTTTTGCACTTCGCTCGTCAGTTCTTGGGCATGTCTAGCCCCATATTATGCATTATGACTTATGTAAATCGTTTGTTTTGGTTTCAGGGTAATCGGAATGAATTTAGAAGAACAATTCTCAGCTTGAAGCTTGAAGTTTGAAGGTTTGACCAAGTTTTGACTTGTTGGTATATGTTCTCGGATCGGAACTTTTATGATTTGGTTAGCTCCGTTAGGTGATTTGGGACTTAGGAGCGTGATTGGAATGCATTTTGGAGGTCCGTGGAAGGTTTAGGCTTGAATTGGCGAAATTGAGATTTTGGCGGTTTCCGGTTGATAGGTGAGATTTTGATATAGGGGTCGGAATGGAATTCCGAAAGTTGCAGTAGTCCCGTTGTGGCATTTGGGATATGTGCGTAAAATTTTAGGTCATTCGGACGTGGTTTGGTATACTTTTTGATCAAAAGCGGAATTCGGAAGATGTTAGAACCGTAGGCTTGAATTCGATGCGTTTTGGTGGTTTTGATGTTGTTTGAGGTATTTTGAAGGTTGGTAAAGTTTGAATAGTAGTATATGATGTGTTTGTGCTGTTGGTTGAGGTCCCGGGGGCCTCGGGGTGAATTCGGATGGTTGACGGAAGGTTTGGAATTGAGTTTGAGAGCTGAAGTCTTTTGATTGCTGTCATAACCGCATCTGCGGTTGAAGGATCGCAGGAGCGACCACCGCAGATGCGGATAAGAGTCGCAGAAGCGAAAATGGTGAGGTTGGCAAGAAACCGCAGAAGCGGTTGGTGAACCGCACCTGCGATGGCGCAGGTGCGGCTGGTGCATCGCATATGCGGAAAGCTGGAGGATTAGTGAGGACCACAAAAGTGGTTCTTGGCTGCATATGTGGTACCGCAGAAGCGGTAATAGGGCCGCAGATGCGAATCCCTGGACCAGACGTATAAAATATTTCCCTTCGCGAATTTTGGCTAAAAACTCCATTTTTGAAGACGGGAAACGAGCTAGGGCAGAGAATTCAAGGGAAAATCAAGGTGAATCAGTTGGGTAAAAATTAGTGGAAATTAAGGGTAAAAATTGAGGAAACTAGGGCTTGGTATTGGAGACCTAAACTTGAGGATCTGGAGGACCATTTGTGGTTGGACTTTGGAACTTTTGATATGTATGAACTCGTGGGGAGATAAGGAATCTAATGATGTAAAATTTATCGATTTCCGAGATGTGGTCCCGGGGGTCGGGTTTTGGTAATTTCGGGATTTTGATGTTTTTCAATTATTTTCGAGTGGGCTTTGTCCCTTTAGCATATTTTGATGATTACGTTCTGATTTTGGTAGATTCGGAGCATCCGTAGGCCGATTCGAGGGGCCAAAGCATTTCGAGCAAGAGTTTGGGCCGGATTGAGGTGAGTAATGATTTAAATGTTGTCCTGAGGGTATGAAACCCCGGATTGCACATCGTGGTGCTATATTGAGGTGACGCACACGCTAGATGACGAGCGTGGGGTCGTGCACTGTTGGGGATTATGACTTAGTCCATCCCAAATGATTGTTTTACCACGTATTTGATTGAAAAACTATTTGTTATCATTATGTTTTGGGCTGAATACCATATTTGGGCCCTGTGCCAACTATTTGGACCCTTAGGGGATTTTTACTGATATTTCCTAACTATTTGACTTTATTCTTGTACTCAGTCATATTATATACCACTGTTTTCATAACTCAGCAATGCTTACTCTGTTTAAATACATTAAATGATATTTTTAAATGACAAATGGACTGAGCATCATGTTTTACTGTTGCCCGAGGGGCTTATGAGATTCTGACTGAGTAAGGCCGAGGGCCTGAGATTTTGTACGCCACGAGGTGGCTTGTTGATATGAGGCTGAAAGCCTATGTGATTATGCCACGAGATGGCTTGATATTGCGCTTGGGCCGTAAGGGGCCCCTCCAGGAGTCTATACACCACCAGTGAGCGTTGGTACCCATTGTGATACGAGATATAGCCCGAGGGGCTGGTATTATTATACGTTATTGCCCGAGGGGCTGATTCTGTTGTTATTATGCCCGAGGGGCTGGTATTGTTCCATGTGTTTGCCCGAGGGGCTACTTCTGTTGTTATTGTGCCCGAGGGGATGATTCTATTGATACTGTGCCCGATGGGCGGTTCTTTACGTGCTTATCTTTTCTAGTTGCCTGTCATTTACTTGCTTAACTGTTAAAAAGGCATTTTGAAAAAGCTTAAATTGAACTAAAGTGACTTTACATATTTTCACTGTTTCTCTATTTTTACTGGCTTTCACTGCTTCTTTATAGCCTGTTGATGCGCCTTTACGCGATTTCTTATTGCTCAGTCTGCATTTATTTTTATTACTCACTGAGTTGGAGTACTCACTTTACTCCCTACACCTTGTGTGCAGATTCAGGTATTTCTGGACCCGGTAGCGGGTATTGGTTGCTCAGAGGCAGAGTCAATGGAGTTTAGCAAGGTAGTTGCCTGACGTCCGCAGCACTGCTTTTCTCCCTCTTTCCTTCCTTAGACTGTGTTTGGTATATTTTAGATTCTTAGTTGTGTTCAGATCTTAGTAGATGCTCGTGACTTGTGACACCCCGATGTCGGGCTGTGTTGGTTATTTTTCCGCAAATTGTGCTCTTTCACTTATATTTTGGGATTATTAGCATGTTAATGACTTCAATTGTATTATTATAATTGTTTAATATGAACTGGGAGTTGTGTCGGCTGGCCTTGTCTTCACGAGAGGCGCCATCATGACCAGGTCTGGGTTTAGGGTCGTGACAGTTACAATACAAATAATGAATACAGTATCATATACTATAACATGCTATATATGTAGTTAAAGTAGCACGAAGTGTGTGTGTTATATACATACACACACACTAACATATACAATAACAAGTTATATATACGTTATAGTATTACAGTGAAGTGTCTCTGTGTGTGTATGTGTGTGTGTGTATATATATATATATATATGAACATGAAGCGCTAGGAACACAGGGCGGGGTTCTTTTAGGTATTGATACAATTGTAAATTGATTCATCGACTTATAACCTACTCAGATGCATCTTTGAATATTAAAAACAAAACGTCTCCACTTATATCAATTAATCTGTTATAATTGATTCATCGACTCATAACCTAGTGATGAATGAATGTAATTCATTAACTCTATTATAATACAAATAATGAATACTATTATATTAATTAAGAGAATAATATTATATTGGTTTATCAATTCATTAATTATTCGTACGTAGTAACGTATAAGATTGATCATCAATTACAATATAGTTTATGCGTGTGTATGAAATTACTCATATACTTAAATATAACATGAAAAATTCCTTTACTGTTACGACCCGATCGGTCGTTTTGAGTTCTAGCGCTCCGTTCAGCAGCCTGAGGTCATGAGCAGCTTCATTTCAGGTGTTATGACTTGTACGCGTGGTGGGAATTAAGTTCCGGGAAGTTTAGAGTTGATTTGGAAAGAGAATTCTCATTTCAGAAGCTTAAAGTTGAAAGAATGAACTAAGATTGGATTTTTAAGTAAACGATCTC